GCAGCGTAGAGAACTAAGGAAAATCAGTTCAAGAAAATCAAGCATCCGAAACCAATCCAGATCGTGGAACACTTGGATTCTCCTTCTCCGTCACTTCCCCCCGCCAGCGCGATTGACCGAATCGACGTTACACGGGGAAATGCCGACGGAAGGGGACAGGGAACTTCACCTGACGGTGAGTTCTTTCATGAAAGGAAGAGATCAAGAAACGCGCGCGATGGTGAATCGGCTCTCGTGAACATCCGGAGTAGGAGAAGTAGTTCATAACTCAGAGTTAACACAAGCAGAGAGCGGAGAGAAAGCATACCTGGTTCTGGTTCTGGTTCTGATTCCAATATCGAGAAGACGAAGATGGTGAATGGTGATGAGAAGGGAGTAGAGCCTAATAAGTAGGTATTATGGAGAAGCAAGAAGAAGACGAGGCCGGGGCCGGAGCCGGGGCTGGACGGAGGGTTGACGTGGTGAGACATTTGGTCAATGCGGTGTTTGACTTGTGAATGAGAGAAAAGATCATACGAAAACTGATGTGAACTTCCCGCTCTTTCTCAGTTTCTCTATCTCTCGGGCTCGGTTTCGAGTTTCGACCTTTCGGGTCTAAAATGAGTTTTTCCCGGTTCATCATTATATTTTGTAGAGTTACAAATTAATCACTAGATAAGAAGTTACTTTGATATTCAGTCCTCCAACCATGCAAATTTAACTTATGCGTAGGAAGTTCGACGATTAGTCGACTTTCGCTCGCGGCTTTGTACTGTTCTCTGACTATGTATCCGAGCTTTGGCCCGGTTTGTCTATGTTAAAAAAAAAATGTTTGAGGGGGAAACGTCTAGTGTCAATAAAAAGATTGTAATACAGCTATAAAAGCCTCCAAAGTTTGGATTTTTTTTGTATACCTAGTTAGAGAGCATGTATGTCAGTCTTACGTGTCGGTTCATATTAGATTCGTTAATTTTGTGTTGGCACTTGACAATATATGCATGTACACTTTTGGCAGACAGCTTAGTTAAAAATATGTCCATCTATTCATTAAGGTAGAGAATAGAGACATATATCGAAATGTACATCAACCGTGATCGTAATATATCATCAATAGCTAACACAATATTTGACTGACTACATTATATAATATTCATGTACAAAACATTACGTGATGTAATTTCTGAGTTGTTGGAAAAGATGTTTATGTGATGAATATGTATTGTAAAACGTTCATCATAGAGAGGCTAATTATGGGAGAGGAGAGTTGAGAAAGAAGGAGGTGGGTATGGTGAATGATGTTGTTGGAAATGGTGGAGTATTTCTGTGCTTGGTGGTCAAAAAGAGAACCAGACTATGAAAAATGGGCTATCAAATTGCTCTTGAAGTTTGATGAGTGGTCCATGAGGTAATCTTATGAGTAGTTAGAACTTAGAACTCACTTGCTCAAAGTAGAAGACATATGAGATTTCATTACATTTTTATAATGAAATATTTGTTTAGATGTTGTTCTCTATTCTCTTCTTAAGTTTTCTTAAAAAATATAAGGATATTTGTGAAACTGGAATGTAGGTTGGTTCTGATTGAATTCTCTTTTTTTTTTTTTTTGTGTGTGGATCTTATCGATCGGTTCCTACACATCCAATTCTTACTGTCGCCAAGGTCCATGCATAAACCATACTTGGTCTTCTTGCATACATATATTAAGAATCATCTAAGAAAATATGTAAACCATCTCAATCTATTTGATGGAAAATTAAAGGAGATCAGGATGGATATATACCATGAAAAGTTCATCAAAAGAAAGACCAATTATGGGAGAGGAGAGGTGCAGAATAAGGAGGTGGGTATGTTGAATGATGTTGTGGGAAGTGGTGAAGTTATGTGCTAGCTTCATGAGATGGTGGCCAAAGAGGGGAACAAACTCTGAAGTAGTTGGTTCTCACATTGTGATTAAACTTTAATGTTTGATCAGTGGTCCATCAGAGTAACTTTTACGAGTAACTTCTAATTATTAAATCGTGCTTGCTCAAAGTAGAGGACATATGAGACTCAGGTGCATTCATTACGATAGGAAAAAAAATATGGATCGCACTTCTCAAAGTAGAAGACGTCGTAGAAGACTTAAGTACATTTATTACGATTTAAAAATGTGTTTGGTTAGGTGTTGCTCTCGATCCTCTCCCAACATAATTAAAATTAGGTAACAAATTAGAGGGGGGAAACCATTTTAAACTAGCTAGAACCAACACCAATTATTCATTTTGCATATGTAAACAGTGTTTGGCTGCTACCCATGAAGTGGTCCAAATTTCACTTTCAAGTGGAAAGAGTGGGGTGAAATGAATTAAAAAGGGAAGGACAAAGAACTAAAGGGGAAAGTATTGGTGGCCAAAGAACCCTAAGTTCCTTAACCCTAGACAACTTTGAAGAACCCAACACCCTTTTTATGGGGCTTGTTTCATTCTTTATAATCTTAATAAACTATAGCTAGGATACATGGTTAAGCGGTTTCCCCCCATAGAAAATGGAAAATGTTCAAATTATATGTGCCCCAATCAAAAGAAACCCTAGCTAGTTAGCTAGAATGTGACATCAAAGCCATGTTTGGATATATGCTTGGTGGAACTTGAGAGTTGAGACTATAGATGAAACCAAAGTCCTAAGCCATGTCCCACCATGAAAATTACATTTTGGAAGAGCAGGCACGAAAACAAAAGATTATTGGTGATCATCATAATACGTATTCGGACTTTGAATAGAGAGATATTTAGTTCAAATTATAATGTTGTTATTGGAAGAGTATTAGTGTGTATAAGTGACAAAGTAGTATTAATAAGATTATGCGCGCCTTGATTTCTTTAATATTATTATTGAACTGATAATTATGACAACCCAATCAAACTTTTTTTTTTTTATAGAACAACCCAATCAAACTTAATTTCAGAACAATCTTCTTTTATGATGATGAAGAAAAGAAAGAGCTGGCTACAAGACAACAATTACCAGGCCTGATGTTGATGGAACATTAATTAACTAAATATACTTGATTAATTGATATCATCCATTAAACTCGGTTTCCTGTTCTGTAACCAGACTATTGAAACAGAATGGAAGTGATTAATAAAAAGCTGTGCGTTCGTGGGATTGGTTTAGTTTGTTTGCCAGTGGTCGAAGAGACAAAACAAAAAAGAAGAAAATTGTAGTGATTATCTAAGAAATTAGGATATAAGTTGCTGTCTTTAATTAATTGGAAGTTCATTCAATTTTAAAAACTTAATTCTGATCAGTCTTCTTATATCCTTCAAGAGGTTAGATTAAATCCTGTCTATGCTATATACCGGCCGTATATCCGAATTTATAATAGTTATTTTGATTTGAATCGACTAGAACAATTATTTACAATTTCGTTTGTAGTTTTAAGTACTTTAGAAACTTGTTTTTTTAGAACTTTTGGAATTTATCAAATGACCATTATAGGAACAAGTTCATAAACAAAATATGAATAAATTAGTTATATTGTAAACAAATACCAGTGATTAAATTTAAAATTTTGATTATTAGATCTAGTTTTAGTGACCATTCACCTAAAATCCAGAGTATACCACAAACATGGCCAAAATAATACTAATAATAATGGAATAGCTAGCAGATATTTCATATGGTTCATATTGACTGACCTTATCCGATTCATATTCTTCTTGTTGCTAAGGAGGAAACAAATGATTCCCGCCATCACTTTCATCACCCATTAATTCTTTCAATGTTTTGTCATCACTTTATCTTCATCGAATATCCAAGAAATTATATAAACTGGGAAGAAGATTGACAAATAGTTAAAGATTAAGAGTATGTCTATGGTAACTACAAAATTACTGTGACTTGGAAGACATGATCCACCGTTTCTGAAAACTGGTCGTCCGATCCTGAGAGTAATAATGATACTCCATATTGACAATATCCGAATTAATTTGGAGATACTAGCAAACCCAACAATTTGTTAGTGTTCCTAAACTATTGGGCTTGATGAGTACATAGAGGTAGAGGTGATATTGTCTAAATTGTGATGAGTTGACCGCTAGATATATAGCTATAGAATATAGCGAAACCTACGAGTAAATTCTGGATTATGTTTTAAAAATGTCAATCAAATGTACTTGAATTGCAATAAGTATATTTTCAATGATTTATTGTTTTTTAGATAGAGATAAAAAGTCAGAACTACGTTCTTAGACTCCAGAAATCTGAAAAACGATTTTGTGTCTACAAACAATAACATACCATATATGAACATCCTAGTTAAGTGAATGAATGATTGCGAATTAGTTTCTTATTTCTGTAAAACATTGGATGTGTACTCATCGATGAATTACACATTTCTCTTCCTTTCTTGGAGAATTTCAAAAACATCCACCCATAAACTAAAAAAATTCGCTTCTTTTCCTATACATCGTACAGACACCGAGAATCACATGCTTACAGACACCGAGAATCACATGCTTGCAAGCTCATCAACGCTAAAACTAACATATTTACTTGACGAATCAAAGGACAACAAGAGTGTGTTCTGCTATATCAAAGAAGACTACTTAAACTGCGTTCTTTCCTGCTGAAAAGGAACTCTCATCGTTACTTCTGCAACAATCCGGACAATCATGTGAAACATAAAGTCAACGATAATCCGAAACATCATCACCAATTCATTCCCAATTCCTCAAATCTACATATTTCAACTGCTCAAATATCAAATCTAACCGATGAAACGATGACAGTTTGAATCCAGACATATAATAAGATCAAACCTCCCCCCCTAAAGAAACAATCTAATCCCCCAAACTTGTACACTAGATCAAACCCAATTGATAAAATCTCACCAAGAAATCTAGCCTTCAACAAAAAAGAAAGTATTTATACCTTCTGAATTTCTCTTCTCTAGCTAACTCAAAAACAAAATTGCCCTCAATTGAAGAAGAAAGAAGAAGAAGAAGTAGTGAAGAACCCCACTAGTCAACAAACCAAAAAAATCAAATCCCATCAAACTTGAACGAACTAGGCCCTCCGCCGCCGCCGGCGGGATCATCATCATGTTCATACCGCCGCCCTCCTCCTCCTCCTCCTCCTCCTCCGCCGCCGCCCTGATTGTTATTGCCACTTCCCCCAGCCGTCGATCTCTCCCCTTCCACCTCCCTATACCGATGCAAGTACCGCCGGAGAGGAGCTGCGTAGTCGTCGAACCCCAGCGACCCCATCGCCCAGCAAACATCGTCGCCGTTGACCGTCTTCCGCCGCTCCTTCCGGCACTTCTCCGACGCCTCGCTGGTGACGAAGCTGATGAACTCCGACACGCACTCCTGCATCGTCTCCTTCGCCTCCTTCGACACCTTGGCGTTCGGCGGCAGGATCTGTTTCATTATCCGCCCCACGTTTGCGATCGGGAGCAGCCTCTCCGCCTGCTCCCTCGACCAACCCCCGCCGCCGCCGCCGTCGTCTCCGCCTCCGCCGCCGCTCGTCGACGCGCCTCCGAGGTGGTGGTGGTGGTTGGTGCTGTCGGCCATTTCTTCTTTGCTCCTTGTTTCGTTTTCGTTTTAACAACAACATCATGTCGCTCCCAAGTCAAAACTCTTGCAATTTTTATATGGGGAGGTTTCATGTGAATGTTATTATAATAATGATGTTTCATATTATTATTATTATTATTATTTTGTTTCGTGTTAATTGGGTCGAATATGTTTTTGTATGTTTGTTTATATAATTGTTAACGTTTGTTTACATGGTGACTAGCTACTACATATCTCTACCAAAGTAGATAAAATAGGGTAAGGGGTGAGTTAAGGGTTAAAGTTTGCTTATTGTTTACAAACCTAATTATTTTATTGGTACATACTTGTCCAACCAAATCCAAAGCCAACTGCACAAACAAAACCATCTCCAATCGTCTATCTCTCTCAGCATTGCACTTCAATTTTAGTGTGTCCTTAAATTATTCAAAAGTTGTGAGAAGAATTGATCTACAGTTTTATTGTATGGTTTTCAATGGGTAAATTTCGTATTTGAATTCTCGGGTGGATATCTGATCTCCCTTCCACAAAAATAATATAGGAGCGTGTTCGAAAGTGATCAAATTTTAGTTAAGAAACAACAGATATATGCTAATTAATCATTTGTTATGGTCGAATTCGCTTCGCATTATTCAAGTCTAGATCATAAATGTAAGGAGAGAGAGAGAGAGAGAGAGAGAGAGAGAGAGAGAAAGGCTCACTGGGGAGAGGGGAGGAACACATACAAGAGTGATTGTTCAAAGCTAATTTTTGTGTTTCTTTCGGTCAAGAAGAGTCGATAACATGCAGTTTAGTCGATTTAGTGTGATTGGGTGTCAACAAGAAGACCTATGTATGTTTGATGATGTGAAAGCACATTAATTACTAGCATAATCATCAAATACACTTAACGGAAAATTAGATGGAGTACGGGACAATGTTTATTATTCTGATTTGAAAAAGGTAAGTGACCATGCACCTGGATATGTTTTGAATACTAGAAACTTGTATTCTCTTATGTTAAAGGGGTCGTATATTCTGCACAGTTATATTTATAATAATGTGGTTAATTAAATGGCCAAATTACAGTGATCCAAATAAAGAGTCCAAATACGTATCGTACTCATATATATGCTCCAAAATGGGTGGAACCCATAAATATACTAACCTAGTTAGAGTTTTATGAGAACTCTAACTAAAAACTAGTATGTAAGGAACTTAGAGATTATGGTCCTCCAAAAGGATCAGAAATACCACTACAGGAACTGAGCAGACTTCGTTGAATAAGGTCATAAAATCTCTTGAAGCATACTTTAGAGTAATTCTATAGCCACAAATTATTAATCGAATTCCACATCAAGTTATTATTGACCATCAATCTACATAAATCCAAGTATAGAGATACACAATTACTTATATTGAAGACCCTAGTAAGATTTGTAACTCCTCATTTCACCATTCTTATACCATCATATGTAAACTAAAGAATGAAGAGAGAAGAGGAAAAGGCCAAAGGACTACTCTTAGCTTGTAAGTATGTGTGGATTAAGCTATGTGGGGTAACATATTTAAATGCTTAACTACGTACTTGGGTTGGCTTATTGTGATTCTATGTGGCTGTAATTAGTTGAGAAAGCATGTGAAAGGAGCCGACCAGGTTTTGGATTAAGCGTGAGGGCCAAGCCTTTCGATCTCGACTTAATTTAATAGCTTAATTTCCTCAGTATTTTAATTAATCAATTTGTTAACTGCAATCCACTACTCTTCCCAATTTGTTGGCATGTTGTTAAAAACAATTTTACATCATGAGAATCTTAAATCGTCTTTCTTTGTAGCTAAACTCATTTGTTTCATCCCCTAGTAAATCGAAGTAATTCTCTTGAAAAATGTTTTAGCCCTTTCAAAGATTAAGTGTCAAAGTTGTCTAGCAATACTTATCAGAGTCTTGGACTGCAAATATAACGAGAGAAGTCGTGTCTATTCGACAATTGGTAATATGCAAAGAAAATGTATGAAATTACATGGCGAATTTTCTCAAATTTAATATCCCTTAAAATTTATCCTTGAACATTTATCGACTTGAGATTGAAGTATCAATAATAGTAAAATCTTATTCTTGACCTTGCTTTCCAAAAATGAAGCACAAATTAGTTTGATATGTATTACAAACGAAATTAAGACCTAAAATTCGTAGCAAACAAATTAAGCACGAACACATTTAACCACCAAATAAGTCATCATGTTTTCATGACGACCAACAAACTGAATACTAAACAATCAGACAACAGCATGCGAGTCGCAAAGCTCCTCCAGAACCACTCCATTCCGAGAATCATGTCTGACAACCCATTAACCTTGTCAGTGACCACCTTTGCATCTCTCCCCATCTCCACTTAGCCCATATAGAAGAAAAGAACACCTTACATTGTAACCCTAATTTTTAAAAGCAAGGAATAGAACATGGTCCAAAGTCTACTACCTCTATGTTTGGTCATTTGATGATAACTAAAGTAACCATGGCCACTAATATTGCTTAGCCTGAATTTAGACAAAACCCTAAATGAAAACCGAAAAGAAAAGGCAGTAGTACTCGTGAATGTGTGTCGTTCCCCAACATTGCACTCTTCAAGATGTGCTCTACGAATCATTAGCCAGTTAGGTCAATTGATTAGGCCAAAGCATCTTTATTAGAGATTAAACTATAATTTGGTACTGTTCCTGTGGTTGATTATTCAATTGCAACTAAACATTATAGTAATGCCTTTTGGGTGTGGATGGATTCGATCATCACCAATACTCTTCCCCTCTGAACTTTGCTGGAGAAAAAGTTAAACTCAAATCTTATATAAATTCGTAACGGATGTTTCAGATTACGTCATTTGATACGTCAACAGTACTAATGTATTTTTTTTTAATTCTTAAGTTGTGGGCTTTATAGTTCATTCTCTGCCAAGTGAGGATTTTGCAACCAATTGAAAGGTGATAAAACTTGTTGAACCAAAGAGAATCCAGTTTGTAAGTGAATGGTCACCAAATCATATGCCCAAAGATTTTTTTGGCGACGATAAAAGTAGATGTCACTTATCCGACCAAACTGCTGTCACAATAAGACTATTAGTAACTGCAAAATTCCGGCAAAAATAAATAGGTTAATTGTGGTTATCACAGGGTTAATTGTGGGTTTTGGATCAGATTTAGTTAAGTATTTTACTTCTTAATTTTTCTTAATACAAGTTGTGTGCTGGTGTCATTATCTTGATGATGCTGTGGGGGATAACGATTGATGAAACTGATCAGATAAAGTATGAAGTTTTTCCCATTGAAAGAGATAAATAAGGAGATGTAGACAAAGCTAATTAATCTGATGAGGGCAATAACCCTAAGCGAATGACCCGAGATTCATCCATCTTCGGTAGATAAAGCCATTATCATCAGGTTCTGCTTCATCTTCAAAAGCTACAACGTAACAAACTACTAGTTTAATTTTGATTGAGTGAGCAATTTCGTGTTTTGCATTATGATGTTCATGTGTTTACGTTAATGAAGATAGAGCTCACATGAGTTTTCCTGCAAAATTTCAATTTCAATTTCATCTCCGGCTGGTTGCGGCGGCTTATGACCGGTGTCTCCTCGGGGTATGGTGACTCAGTTAGATTTTTCGGCTCTCATTGACCTGATCTCCTCTGTTTCATTTGTGCCAACTATAACCGATCATTCATAGTGCAATGCAAGATTCTTCTTTCTCCAAAATTTTGAATTATTATAACTAACAATATTAACATGGTTCCAACGCATCTTTCTCAAAAATTGAAAAACGGTACCGTATTGACCGTTCAACTAGAAAAATCTCCTACCAGAGGCTTACCGTATTAATTTTGTTAATTGTCTACTTCCGGATTACTCCATTGAGGACTTCACCGAGTAATTAAACGGAATTAACAACCAGCTTTTACCTATGCATAATCGCTATAATTAAAATAACTTACCAGTTACCAGTTAGTGCTTCGAAAAGTGAAACTTCCCCGTATTTATCATCGACCAATTAAAATTATTAAAACAAGATTCTAAGATTTTAATTTAAACTAAAAACGTGTCCAACTACTAGAATGTTCGGGTTGTTATTTATTAAACAAAAAACTTAAAGAAGTAGCTAGGCTACTCTAATTAGTTAATTCTATTCAGACAAAAAGATATGAAAAAAAATAAAAAATTGTTGGTTATTTACCTCAAGGTTCAAACACAGGGTGTGATAGATGTTTCAACCTCATACTACCATTTGTTCAATCCCTGGGAGTTTAAGGAGCCAAAGCCTTGTGAAAAATAGTTTAAAAGTGATCCCAAGTGTTTGTAATGAACAATAAAATAAAATAATGGATTGTTCAGGTTGAACGAGACTCTGAGGTCAAATAAATATTAAGGTCGTTTGGAAGTTGTAATTGTTAAATAGATGTCTTGTTCTGAATACATGTATTGATGAATTTGATGCATTGTAAAATATAGCGTTTGGTATTTGTGATTGCGTATGTCACATCAGTTAAAAGTTGAGATAAAATAATCTCTACTCAACAATCTCAGCTAAAAGCTGAGATATAACAATCACTCATTTTGAGTGATTGTTTTTGTCACATCACAGATCAACCAATGTATTGTGTCTGCTAAAAAATAAAAAATGATGCATTCTAAACAATATAAACATAGTAACAATCTCATAGAAACAATAGCAACTTCCAAACGACCCCTAAGTGATTCAGATATAGAGATAGTTAACATTGTAAGAGAATAAGAGCGAGAATAATTGAGAATTCAATACTTTTTTCTATAAAAAATCGAGAATACGTTGTTATTATGAAGGAAATAGTGGAGGAAAATTATGTACAGAGTTTTGCTCATGAGCTCAGGTAACAAGCTTATTAATTCAAAATAACATAATTTAGTGTGCGACAATTATGTATATAATGATGGGTGATAATTAACATCTAAACTCGTCCAATCAATTTCGTTATTTTCAAATATTTCAG